TCACTTTATAGTTTTCTTTCTTTCTTTCTTTTTTTGGGGGGGGCACCAGAGATCGAACTCGGGACCTTGTGCTTATGAGACAAGCAGCGGAAGCACTGAGCTAAATCCCCAGCCCAAGTGCTAATTTCCTGAAAGGTCTTTTCTTCCACTTTCAAAAGGGTTCTTGCTCCTTAACAGTGGCAGATCCACGACGACCATCCAGTAGCTCCTTAGTGCAGGAATCATTGGGTTCCTCCTCCAGCTCCAATGGCTGGAAGGGATGGGAGTGAAGAGAAGTCCTTGACCAGGGATACAGGGTGCTGAGGCCAGAGTTCGGTCCCACCACCGGTCTAGAGAGCCGAGAGGCTTTCCTTCTCCTACCTCCAGTCACTCTGCTTTTCCCTACTGGTCCTTTCAAATGCTCCTCCAGGAAGCCTTCCCCAACTCCCCAGCCTAGCCCAAGTCAGATGTCTCCTCTACGGTCCCACACCCTTCCAGCTGACCCCTTCTATCATGGGGGGGGGACCCTCAGTAATTAGGGGAGACAGGGGATGAAAAACCCATCCCTGCCCACTGTCTTCTCTCTGCCTGGGCTGCTCCCAGCATTGCCACCATTCTCTGTCCATCTGCCTGTCAGCTGCGTGTCCACCAGCTTCTGCTTCTTTCTCTACTCCCTGACTCTCTCAATCGATCACTCCATTGTGCCTTGTATCTGTCTCTGTTCCTTTTCTCATTCTTTAAATTTTATATGATTGTACCTCATTCTGTGAAGTACTCAAGGTGGCATCACTATCATTATGCCCTTTAATTGTTTAATCTCCATCCCCTAATTTCTCACAAGTGCTCTCTCCTCTACAGTTAATGACCTTCGTACGTGAAAAGGGGATTTCTCACTCCTTTAGAGAAGTGATCCTCTCCCCAAAGGAAGTCCAGCCCCACAGGCCTTGAGAGAGGTTCCAGAGTACATGACTGGACCCCAGTCCTTCCCACACCCAGGCCAGACCGAAGGAGTGGGGCCAGAGGGAGGGCACACAGAAAAGACTACTGCATCCAAGTGTGGTGGTGCATGCCTGTAATTCCAGCACTCTGGGCAAGTCCCAGCCTAGCCTGGGCAATTTAGGTCCTATTTCAAAAAAAAAAAAAAAAAAAGATAGGACTGAGGCTGTAGTTAGTTCAATCCCTAGTACTGAGAAAAAAAAACCACTGCATCCACAACTGGTTAGAGTCCTCAGCACCTCTAACCCACTCACTGCTCATGGCAATGAAGAATTGTGCAGTGGGTAATCTCTTCGGCCAACCCCATGTGTGGACTTTCCTGGTTGTCATTGCTTTTTCTAGAACATTCAGCTCTCCCCATAGTATGTCCTAGGCATAGGCCTATTTTGACCCCAACTCCAGGCCCCAGGGGGTCATCTGGGGGAAGGAGAAACCTTGAAGTGGTAGTGATTAACCCCTCATGCCCCCTCTTCCAGGCCTCCCTGGACTTCTATTAACTTGAGGTTTCTGCCCACAAAGTATGTAGGCTCCTGGAGGGCAGGACTGATCCGTTGGTCTCCCAAAGCCTGCAAGGTGCATGTGTCAGGGTGTGCAGCACAGGAACCGGGGGAGAAGGTCCAAGCATTCATTTGTTTCCTATGAGGGCCTGTGGCCCACTCGCTCACCCTCACCCTTGCAGTGGGGCCCAAGCTAGCGCCAGCTGTGGGTTGCCAAAGTCTGGCCCTGTCATGGCCACTAGCAGGGAACAGCTCTGGAGGCGGCCCACTCAGCCCCTGAGAGAGGCAGTCAAGGCTGTGAGAAGGCAACAAGTCTCACGCCAAGCTGTCCCCTCTCTGGAGCCTCAGTAGCCAAGCTGTCCCCTCTCTGGAGCCTCAGTAGCGTGACAGAGCCCGGGGCGCCCTGTCCCCTCGGGGGGGGGGGGCGGCGGTGTACTGATGGCCGGCGACAAGGCTCGGCCGACTCCAGCTCAGAAGGCTTCCAAGGGGGCCCAGCCCAGGAGCCCCCACCGCCAGCGGCGGCGACTTTCAGCTGCCGGCGCCCTAGCGTCCGCCTAGGCTCTGGCCGGGCGCCAGGCGGCGGGATCCATCACTGTATTTGGCGGGAGGCCGGCGGCGCGTCCCCCGGGGCTCCTAGGCGGCCGGCGCTGTCTGCCTGGCAGGGCTGGCGGGTGGCGGGAGCCTGAGCTCGAGGAGGCAGCGAGCGCGGCGCTGCGCGGGCTGCGGTCAGCCGGGCTGGCGCAGGGGCCGCGTCTCCCGCACTAATTGGCCCTTCCCTAGCCGCCTGGGCGGGTAATTGCTGCTTGGGGCGGGGAGGAGGAATGTTGGGGAGAGTTGGGGCCACGGCTTCTGGAGTGGGAGCCAAGCTCAGCCCAGGTGGGCGGCGGAAAGGTTGTACGTGCCGAGCCTGCCAGGGCTTGGCACCCGGCATGTTCATCCTCGAGGTGGCCCTGGAAGGTAGAGGTAAACTGAGGGAAGGAGGAACCCACAGAAGTGCCTAGGGTTCTTTACCAAGATCTAGTTATAAACGAGAACCGCTCCCAAGGGGTGTGGCTTTTAGGAAAGACTCTGGGTGGCCTTGTTGGGGGGGTGGGTTGGGGGAGACGACGGACTGGCCCGAGGGAAGGAAGCCAAGGTGGACAAAGGAGAGTAAGTGGCCCTCCCGGTGCCTGCATTGAGCTGTGCAGCCCCGCAGGAAAAGGACACTTTACTGCCCACCACCATTCCCATCCAGGTTGCCCACTGGAGTGTGTGTGTGTGTGTGTTCTTTGTTTGGTTTTTGGTTTTTTGAGACTAGGTCTTGCTATGTGGTCCAACCCAACTTGAGCTCACTATGGAGCCCAGGCTGGCCTCAAACTCGGTGATCCTCCTGCCTCAGCCTAGTAGGATTACAGGCATCTGCAGCTGTCTTATTTACTTGTCTCAATGCTGAGACAAAATACCCGACACCCAAAGTTAAAAAGGGAAAGGTTTATTTGGCTTACAGTTCATAGAGATTTCAGTCCATAGTTGGCTGGCTCCAAGACAGAGTGGCACATGGCAGAGGGGCATCGCAGAGAACAACAGTTCCTTGTACACACAAGACAGCAAAAAGCAAGCAAGGGACAAGACAAGCCACTTTCTGTTCGTTATAGTGCATCCAAGCTACAGGGATTAAGGCGGTGCCAAACCAATCATTGTACCCATTTATTAATTACACACTCATGATCCCAGCATCACACACTCTAGATCCAGCCACCTCTGAAAAAGCCCCACCTATGACCACATGAGGCTTTGGGGGGACTTGTAGACACAAGACATAACAGCCACCATACTGGGTTGCCCAATGGAATTCTTCCATGTTCAGATCATAGGGAAGGTCCTAGGGTTTCCCAGAGACCTTTAAAATTTTCTCATCTGCCACATCCAGGCTGGACCCTGACTGAGCCCTGGCTGCTGCTCAGCTACACTTCCTCTAACTTGGGGAAGCAAGCTCCTTTCCTCAGACCCATGTAGGGGATCCAGTGGATGTTGAAGGAAAATCAGTCATGACACTTATTAAAGCCCAAGAAGGCAGACTTTGTCCAAGACCACCAAAATGGGCAATGGGGTTTTGCAGTCAGGGAGAGATTAGGCTGAGCTCCCCATACAGCATAGGTAAGTGGGAGTTAATAGCCAAGGGTAGAGCAGGATCAGTGGGTAGAAAATCACTAAGAGGGCTGGGGATTTAGCTCAGTGGTTCTGCTGCCTGCCTCGCAAGCGGAAGGACCCGAGTTCGATCCCCGGTACCAAAAAAAAAAAAAAAA